GGAGTTTTACTCTTGTTGCCCAGGCTGGAGTGCAATGGCATGATCTTGGCTCACTGCAACCTCTGCTTCCTGGGCTCAAGCGATTCTCCTGCCTCTGCCTCCTGAGTAGCTGGGATTATAGGCATGCACCACCATGCTTGGCTAATTTTGTATTTTTAGTAGAGATGGGGTTTCTCCATTTTGGTCAGGCTGGTCTCAAACTCCCAACCTCAGGTGATCCGCCCACCTCGGCCTCCCAAAGTGCTGGGATGACAGGCGTGAGCCACCGGCCAGTCTCATTTTAAGACTGCATTGGTGTGGAGCTGTGATAATTTGTGCAAGACAATTGAAGTGCAATTTATTGTAATATTGCTAAAGGTCAACTTGTGGAAAAGTCCACTTTGTCCTGAGAAGAACTGGCTTGCAGGAGGTCAGGTGAGGTCCTTGGCATGCTCTGAGCCATCGTGTCCACTTCCTATGTGTCAGGCAGACTATGAGCCCAAAGGTCTTGAAGTATTACAGTTTTAGGTTTTGTTTAAACATAAGTTATTTCTGATTTTTCTAATTATTTGCATATACAATCTCTTTTTACTCTTAACAGTGAGACCCTAGTAAGTGGTCTCTTAATGCTTACTATAACTTTGGGAATGTTTGAAAGTGGTGACCGAGTCCCCCACCTGGTCTTCTGCCATGTCACTTGGCCCTGCTGGTCCATTTGTTTTTGGCCAGTGCCAGTTCGGGAGCCAAACCTTGTCATCTACCTCCAGTCCACCTTGTCCCTGGGGAGTCAGGTGCAGATGCTTCTCTGGGCCCTTCCCAGTATCCTGTTCTGATCTTTTACCTGGTGCAGGGCAGAGGGGCTTAGAGGACTTGACCTCATTAACTGAGCAAGCACATGTTCTCCCTGAAGCCTCCTGGTGCCTGGCAGGGGTCAGGCACTGTACGCCAGTCAAGCCAACACATAGTATTAACCATCACAGGGCCACTTGTGCCTCTCTTCTTCTTCCTCCTGCTGCTGCAGATAATTCATTTCCAGATTTCCCCTGTATGTATCAGGGTTCTCTAGAGAAACATATGCATTTATATGGAAGATATAGAAAAGATTCATTTCAAGGAATTGGCCTGTGTGATTGTGGGGACCGGCAAGTCTGAAATGTGCAGGACAGGCAGGAAGTGGGCAAGAATTGATGCTAAAGTTGAGGCAGAATTCCTTCCCTCTAAAACCTCAATTTTTGTTCTTAAAGCCTTCAGCTGGTTAGTTGAGCCCCACCCCCATCATTGAGATATATGTGAAGTGTTTGTGCTTATGTAGACTCACATAAATACATGCATATTAGTCATATATGTAAATGAGAATATATGGACAGTGCCTAGCACATAGTGGGCACTCACAAAAATCTGCTACTAGCCGTGTGCAGTGTTGCCCACCTGTAGTTCCAGCTACTTCTGAGGCTAAGTCAGGAGGATCTCTTCAGCCTAGGAGTTCTTTGAGTTCAGCCTGGGCAACATAGTGAGATCTTGTCTCCAAAAAGAAAAAATATGCTGCTATTAGCTGCTATTGTTATTGTTCTCTTTGTTCAAATCTTTTTCCTTCCTCCATGTAACAATTGCCGATCCTTGGTTCTGGTTGTCTATAGTTATATGGAAGGAGGGAAAGATTTGAGAATAGTGCTCGTATCTTTCCCTATATTTCCTCATTTAATCCTGAGCCTGAGTGGAGGGTGAGGCTGTGTCAGGGAAATAAGGAGGCTTGGGAGTGAGGCCATGCACTTGTGCTGGGCAGGCCTGTGCATGGGCGCACCTGTGAGATCGAGTAGGAGAGATGTCGGGTGCTTCTGGAGGTGGAGATGAGACTTGCAGATTGGGGAGTAGATTAGATGCCCTCCCTGGGCTCTCAACATGGAAAGGAGGCTGGGAGTGGGCAGTGGGGCCTGGGGCATTAGCAGTGGGAGGTGGGATGACAGAGAAGAACGAGAAGGCCAGTGGAGAAATGGCATTCCCACTCCAGCTTTCTGCAAGGTTGAATCATTGCAGTTGTGCGTGTGTGAGCCTTCTAGATGTGCGAGTAGAGGGGTAAGACTGGAGAAGCAGGGCCGAGTCGAGGCTGAGTAGGACTTGGGTGACACAAAACGAAATTAGTATTAAAGCCAGACTTGTGATTTGAGCTCAAATTCAAACAATTAAATTCTCTGTTATCCATTTTCAAAGAAGAACAGGCTCCTTTGATGTGAAACAGACTGGTTGTGGACTCAGTGAGAATTTAGAAAAGAAATTGAGTTTGGATCTGTTTTACAAAATGTATGATTTTTTAAATAAATCATTTGTGCTCTTTATTCAGTGTGTGCATTTCCTGACCTTTGTTTTCATTTAAGAGAGGACAACAGTTCTGACAGCAGTTCTGGAAGTGAGTCTGTTAAGTAAGATATAAATGTCCTTAATTACAGAAATTACATAGAAACCTTTATTTTTATTTTAAATTGATACACCCATCACTTATTAATTATTGTTTCCAGATGTATTGATTACAAGCATGGTTTTAGACAGCATTGGTAAAGTAGTTATATGGCAAATAAAATAACTTCTAGTTGGCAAGGAAAGTGAAAAACAGGATAAGTTCAAGCAAGACAAGACTCGTGTCTGTGTTTTAGAACCTTCAGATGAGCCTAGAACCTTCTGAGACAAGGATTCTGAAAACTTTTAGTCTTTATTTGCCATTTTATCTTCAATGCTGTTTTTAAAAGCTGGTTCTCTTGCAACC